GCTGCCTTGCAGCAAACCGCCTGGACCTGCCTGGTAGGCACCTCCAGAGAACATGGGGTGGGCAGCAGGGTGGGGCTTCCTGCTCACCACTGACCTGCTCACCACTGACCTGCAGGGCGGGGCTTCCTGCTCACCACTGACCTGCTCACCACTGACCTGCAGGGCGGGGCTTCCTGCTCACCACTGACCTGCAGGGCGGGGCTTCCTGCTCACCACTGACCTGCAGGGCGGGGCTTCCTGCTCACCACTGACCAGTGATCCCTGCAGGGCGGGGCTTCCTGCTCACCACTGACCTGCTCACCACTGACCTGCAGGGCGGGGCTGCTCACCACTGACCAGTGATCCCTGCAGGGCGGGGCTGCTCACCACTGACCAGTGATCCCTGCAGGGCGGGGCTTCCTGCTCACCACTGACCGGTGGTCCCTGCAGGGCGGGGCTTCCTGCTCACCACTGACCGGTGGTCCCTGCAGGGCGGGCTCCACCTGCGGCTCAGTGCCTCAGACCTGGTTCTCCTCGGGGCCCTGGTATGTGACATGGACGCAGCCAGCATCCAGACCTCGGACCTGAGCGTGCTGCAGAACCTGCTACGCTGCCCCCGGCTGACCGCTGCCCAGGCAGCTGCCCTCAACACCCTGCTGGCCAGCGGGAGGACCCTGCTTGGGTAGGTGAAGGTGATGGGACTGTGGGCGGGGGACTGGGGACGGGGGGACGGGGGACAGGCATCCCCTCCGTGAGATGAGGGAGCAGCATCCTGGGTGTGGAGGGCCAAGGTCCTCAGTCCACTCTGGCCTTCCAGACTCGGGCACATGGCCGGAGGCTCTGGTGTCTGCAGCACACAGCCCCATGCACTGTGTGTGGGCACCATCCGGGACCCCCCCACACACACCGCGGGGTCCCCTCTCTGCTCAGCGAGAGGCGGGTGGTATGTGGGAACCAACGCAGTGTCCCCTTCCTATCAGGCCTCCTGGCTCCTGGAAGCTGGAGGGGCTGCAGGCCCTGGGACCCCTGGCTGCCTATGTCAGCCCGCGCCTGTGGGAGCAGGTGCAGGAGGTAGGAGGATGGCCAGGGTGGGGCTGGCCGTCGTCACCGGTGGCCTGCCCATGTCCACGCTGAGCCATCGGGGCCCCGGCCCTCCTGTCAGTGCGCGGCAGGGCTGCAAGGGGGGCAGGAGGAGGGACCGGGCTGGCCCTCCCTGAGACCCAGCGGCAACATCCGCCCTGCCAGGCCGTGGCCCTGGACTTCTTCCAGAGTGTGGTGGCCGCCTGCCGGGCAGGGAGGCTCAGACAGAGAGATGCCAGGCGCTTTGTCACCAGCTTCCTGGAGGCCAAGTCCCCCTCCGTGTCCTCGAGGCCCAAGCGGGGCACAGGTCAGTGTGGCATCGCGGCCTTCCCTAAGCCCATCAGAGGTTAAGTGCGGGGCGGGGGGGAGAGGGGGTTCTGGCTGGGGTCAAAGTGGAAGGGAGGGCTGACAGCACTGTCCTAGCGGGACGGAGTCGGCAGGACTTGCTTCTCAGCCCACAGCGGGGTGGGGCGTGGGCACAAGCTACAGGCCGGAGGCTGACGTGCAGAGGATGTCAGCTCAAGGCCAGCCAGAAAGTAGAGTTTTTGAGACTCCATCTCTCCAGGGCAGCCGGGTGTGGTAGCACTCACCTATGACCCCAGCAGCTACAGGATGCCTACCACAGGGCGGGCAGCAAGAAATAACCAGCCGAGAGCCGGCTAGGGGCGTGGCTCAAGGCCCAGGACACACACACACACACACACACACACACACACACACACACACACACACACACACACACACACACACACACACACACACACACACACACACCAGTGCTCAGCTGGAGTCTGGGCCGGCCAGCCCGGTCATCGGCACACCCCGCAGGGAGATCCTGTGTCCGGGGTAACATCACGGCGGCCACGCTGCGGGATGACCTCTTCCTGGTGCATTACGACTGTGTGCAGCTGGGGGCCTGCCTGGGCCACCTGGTGCTCAGGGCCAACCTGAACCCCCTGCTGCAGCACCCCCTGCCCGCCGAGTGCCAGCGCGTTGTCAAGGCCAAGCTGAGCCAGGTGTGCGGGCCGGCCCCCCGCGCGGGTGGAGGGGGAGCCCTGGGAGGGCCGGCCCGCCTGCCGCCCCAACCCCACCCCACCCTGCCCCCCTCAGATCTACCCAGGCGGCATTCCTGAGGACCAGCTGCATCTCATCACCTCTCTGGTTTACCTCTACTCCCTCGCGGAGATAAGCCAGTGGAACATCACGTCCAGAGACACAGTCATGGCCCTGCTGGCCTCGGACGGGGCCCTGCAGAACCAGACGGCGGTGAGGGGGGCCCGGGGGACGCCGCAGGGCCCTGGTTTGCTGGCCTAGCTGACCCCCGCCCCCCCTCCCCGCCAGGCCGTCTTACAGAAGTTCCTGGACCACAATGGCACGGTCACCAGCGCCCTGCTGGTAGCCATCGGGGGCTCTCGCCTCTGCTGGATGAGTCCACTGCAAATCCAGGCTATCCAGCCCTCCGAGCTCCGGTGAGGAACTGCGGTTGGCCGGAGCCCTGTTTGGGCTGAGGCAGCAAAGAGCTGATGCCCCCGGCCACCATCACAACGTATCACAAACGGGGGTGACGTCTACTCTCTTCTGGAAACCAGAAGTGCCAAGCCCAGAGCAGCAGCACAGGTCCCCTCCGTGCCCACAGCCAGGCCTTGGCACCCTGCCAACCGCCGGTGCTGCCAATAGGCAGCGAGGCCCGTCCCGCTGTCCGACTCTGCACAGCCCCTCCCCACGCGGCTGGGCCAGATTCCCGTCCTCCACAGACGCCAGGGACCGGCTTTCCAGCCAGCCCCATCCAGCCTAAATTCTTTTGATCTGATCTCATCTGCTAACACCCCGAGGTTCTGGGTGGACATGGTTCTGGGGGAGAGGCCGCTGAACCTGGTACCGAGCGGGAGAAGGCTGGGGAGGGACCTGTGGCCAAGCAACTCCCACCCTGACCCACCTCACCCCACCCCAGGCTGGCTGGGGCCCTGGACATCTCCTCCTGCCCTCAGAGCCGGAAAAACGTGCTCTTCGCCAAGGCCCGGGAGGCCTTCAGCAGTACTAGGAGCACAGAGGAATACTACCCCTACATACGTCCCTACCTGGGTGAGTGCAGCCCTCCCAACCTCCCCAGACTGGCCCTCCCTCACCCCCTGCCCTCCCTCACCCACCCCCGCCCTCCCTCCCCAGATCCACCCTCAGCCCCTGCCCTCCCTCACCCACCCCCACCCTCCCTCCCAAGATCCACCCTCACCCCCTGCCCTCCCTCACCCCCACTCTCCCTTCCCAGATTCACCCTCCCTCACCCCCACCCTCCCTCCCCAGATCCACCCTCACCCCCTGCCCTCCCTCACCCCCACCCTCCCTCCCCAGATCCACCCTCATCCCCCTCCCTCCACCCACCCCTCCCTCCACCCCCCACCCTCCCTCACCCCCTCCCTCCTTCACCCACCCACCTCCCTCACCCCCCTGCCCTCCCTCCCCAGACCCGCCCTCACCCCCCTGCCCTCCTCACCACCCCCCCCAGGCGGCGCATCTGTGGATGAGCTGCAACACCTAGTCCAGGCCAACGTCTCCATGGACATCGACACCTTCACCAACCTCAACCCCAGCGTGCTGCAGGTGAGGTCTGCGGCCACCTTGGTGGCGGGCGGCTGGGGCAGGGGGGGCCAGGCTCCCAGCCCTGGGTCTGGTGGCATGGCCGGGCCTCTCCTCTAGGCCGGCTCTGGGCCTCACCACCTGCGTGGTGCCCAGCCCCAGGAGGCAGCCACGGCCCCCCTCCCCCACACCCCTCCCCATGACCCTCCCCCACACCCCTCTCTGCCCCCCGCAGAGCCTGAGCGTGGGCACCGTGACCTCGTTGCTGGGCCAGAACGTGGGGGACCTGCAGAAGGCCCGCAGCCACCCCACCATCAGCTCCTGGCTGCGCAGCCTCAGTGGGTCAGCCCTGAGGGAGCTGGGCCTGGACGCCAACCCCAGCAGCCCCAGCCCTGGCCTCGGGACGCCCCAACCCTCCTGGACCACGCACCTGGCACTCCACCTGGCCCCCACCTCAGGCCTGCCCGAGAGTGAGGCCGGAGCCCCAGCCTCAGGTTCGACCTGCTCCACGCCTCCCGCCCCCCACACCTCCCCCCCCCCCCGCCTCTCCCGAGCCACTAGCGACTCTTGATCCTGCGCTCTCACATCCCACATGGAGCTGCAGAGAGGGGACCCCGACTGGACCAGGAGAGTTGCCACGGGGCCTCGGCCCCGCGTGAGCCCCGGGCCTGACGAGTGCCCTCCTTTGTTCCACCCACAGGCAGCTTGCCGGTCCTCCGGAGATACCTGCCACTCCCCGTGGCCCTGCCCTCCAGCCTCCTGTGGCTGCTGCTGTAATGGACGGCTGTGAGCTGTGCACCGGGCATCAGGACCCCGGCCACTGTGGGCAGCCCTGCCCCCACACAGCCAGGCTCACAAAGCTGCTAGCCTAGCCGGAGCTGGATGCCTGCCCAGGCTGAGCAGGAGCCTCACACCCCAGGCCCCAGGAGGCCCCCACACACACATACCTTGGCTCCCAGAACCTGGTCTGGGAGGAGAGGGAGCATGCCCAGCTACAAGCCCAGGGAACAGTGGGCAGGGAACAGAAGGCCCTTTGGCTGCTAGGACAGCCGGTCAGGGCAGCCCTTGGCTGTCACTGCCTTGTTGAGAGGATCTGAATAAAGTGTGGAGCTATTCTGCCACCTGTGTCTTTGCTAGGAGTGACACAGAGACCTTCCCGGGCCCAGACCTTCCCCCACACCCAAAACTGGGGGCTCAGGAAGGGCAGTCATCATGCCGGGAAGGCCTTGGACAGTCGCGGGCTCCATTTAGAGGCCCTGCACCCCTTTCTCTGGTCATGGGAACTCAGAGTGCTGTGTGCATGGGGTCACAGGAAGCCCTGAGCTCAGGTCCTCCCTCTTCCCTGACAAGACCACAGCCCACATCAGCACAGTGACACACTGCTGTTTATTGAGCTCAAATGCCCTCGGGGATGGGCTGCCTTCGGGTCAGGCAGAGCTCCTCGGAGGGCCAGGGCTGGACGGTCGGAAGCGGTGGTCTCAGCCCAGAGCGAAGGCCAAGAGCAGAGCAGAGCTCCAGGCAAGCGCAAGTCCAGGTTTCAGACGTGGAGCTCCCCGGGAGAAGGCCTCTGCACATTAGAGGGGTGACTCAGGCCCGCCAGCCCCCAGCCACCCTGGCCCCGCCCCGGGCTGCCCCGGCCTACCTCGGAAGCTGAGGTCCAGGATCATGTAGCCATTGGGGACGCCGCCCTGGAGCCCCAGCTCCAGCTGGTCCAGGTCTTCCTGGCGCTGCCGGAAGATCCAGTCCCGCACAGGGCTGCTGTTCTCCTCCCCCTTCAGCTCTGCCACGTGCACCCCAAGAAGTGCCTGAACCTCATCCACCGTCAGCCGCTGCCCAAGAGTGAGGCAGCCGTCAGTCTCCCCCGTGTTCAAACCTCGGCCCCTCTAGGCCTGGCTGTGCCTTCCCGAAAGCCCTTCCCCGCCTACCACCACTGACTCCACCGGCAGCTTCTTGAATGTGGCCATGTCCATGCTTATGTTCTGGTGGCTGAGAGCCTGCAGGTCCTCTGCGGAGGCCCCTCCTGCACAGGGAGTGGAACCCAGGCTCCAGACCGTGCAACGCAATACCGGGCCCCAGCCCCACCACAGGCTGCAGGCAGCCTGCTGCCTCCTCCTCCTCCTCCTCTTCCTCTTCCCCCCCCTCCTTCCCCCCCCTCCTCCCCCCCCCCCCTCCTCCCTTTTGGCAGTCCTGGGCTTGAACTCAAGGGCTGGGCACTGTCTCTGAACTTCTTTTGCTCAAGACTAGCACTCTACCATTTGAGCCACAGCTCTACTTCCGGCTTTTTCTGTGTATGTGGTGCTGAGGAATTGAACCCAGGGCTTCAGGCATGTGAGGTGAGCGCTCTACCACTGAGCCACCTTCCCAGCCCCCACCCTGCCTTCTTTCCAGAGGAATTCCCCAACCTCAGCTGTGGGTTGGGGGCCGTGGCAGGGAGCTTAGATCAGCAACCCCCTGCTGAGGGGCGGAGGAGGCAGGAGAGGCAGGGGCCGCCCCTGCCTGTGCCGGCTTGGCTCACCTAGGAAGGCCTGGATCTTCCCAAGGTACTCCGGCCCGCTCACGTTCTGGAAGGCCAGCAGGGCCTTGGGATAGAGAAGGCCCAGCTGCTGCCGGCTACAGGAGTCCAGATCCTTGGGTGTGACTGTCCTGGGGGAAGCGTGGGGCTGAGCAATAGGTGAGGCGGGCACCACAGCCCAGGACACGGGGGGGGGGGGCACCACAGCCCAGGACACGGGGGGGGGGGCACCACAGCCCAGGACACGGGGGGGGGGCACCACAGCCCAGGACACGGGGGGGGGGCACCACAGCCCAGGACACGGGGGGGGCACCACAGCCCAGGACACGGGGGGGGGGGGGCACCACAGCCCAGGACACGGGGGGGGGAGTACCACAGCCCAGGACACGGGGGGGGAGGCACCACAGCCCAGGACACGGGGGGGGGGGGCACCACAGCCCAGGACACGGGGGGGGCACCACAGCACAGGACACGGGGGGGGGGCACCACAGCCCAGGACACGGGGGGGGGAGGTGGGCACCACAGCCCAGGACACGGGGGGGGGGCACCACAGCCCAGGACACGGGGGGGGGGGGCACCACAGCCCAGGACACGGGGGGGGGAGCACCACAGCACAGGACACGGGGGGGGGCACCACAGCACAGGACACGGGGGGGGGGCACCACAGCACAGGACACGGGGGGGGGCACCACAGCCCAGGACACGGGGGGGGCACCACAGCCCAGGACACGGGGGGGGGGGCACCACAGCCCAGGACACGGGGGGGGGAGCACCACAGCCCAGGACACGGGGGGGGGGGGCACCACAGCCCAGGACACGGGGGGGGGGGAGGCACCACAGCCCAGGACACGGGGGGGGGAGCACCACAGCCCAGGACACGGGGGGGGGGGAGCACCACAGCCCAGGACACGGGGGGGGGCACCACAGCCCAGGACACGGGGGGGGGCACCACAGCACAGGACACGGGGGGGGGAGCACCACAGCCCAGGACACGGGGGGGGGGAGCACCACAGCCCAGGACACGGGGGGGGGAGCACCACAGCACAGGACACGGGGGGGGGGGAGGAGGCACCACAGCCCAGGACACGGGGGGGGGGCACCACAGCCCAGGACACGGGGGGGGGAGCACCACAGCCCAGGACACGGGGGGGGGAGCACCACAGCCCAGGACACGGGGGGGGGGAGCACCACAGCCCAGGACACGGGGGGGGGGGAGGAGGCACCACAGCCCAGGACACGGGGGGGGGGGGAGGAGGCACCACAGCCCAGGACACGGGGGGGGGGCACCACAGCCCAGGACACGGGGGGGGGGAGCACCACAGCCCAGGACACGGGGGGGGGCACCACAGCCCAGGACACGGGGGGGGGCACCACAGCACAGGACACGGGGGGGGGGTACCACAGCCCAGGACACGGGGGGGGGGCACCACAGCCCAGGACACGGGGGGGGGGAGCACCACAGCCCAGGACACGGGGGGGGGGCACCACAGCACAGGACACGGGGGGGGGGCACCACAGCCCAGGACACGGGGGGGGGGCACCACAGCACAGGACACGGGGGGGGGGGCACCACAGCACAGGACACGGGGGGGGGCACCACAGCCCAGGACACGGGGGGGGGCACCACAGCCCAGGACACGGGGGGGGGAGCACCACAGCCCAGGACACGGGGGGGGAGGTGGGCACCACAGCCCAGGACACGGGGGGGGGCACCACAGCACAGGACACGGGGGGGGGGGAGGAGGCACCACAGCCCAGGACACGGGGGGGGGGGCACCACAGCCCAGGACACGGGGGGGGGAGGTGGGCACCACAGCCCAGGACACGGGGGGGGGGCACCACAGCACAGGACACGGGGGGGGCACCACAGCCCAGGACACGGGGGGGGGCACCACAGCCCAGGACACGGGGGGGGGGCACCACAGCCCAGGACACGGGGGGGGGGCACCACAGCCCAGGACACGGGGGGGGGAGGTGGGCACCACAGCCCAGGACACGGGGGGGGGGGCACCACAGCACAGGACACGGGGGGGGGGGAGGCACCACAGCCCAGGACACGGGGGGGGGAGGTGGGCACCACAGCCCAGGACACGGGGGGACCCACCAGAGGACACTGAGGGGCAGGGACTCCAGCTGCGTGGAGCTGAGGACACACAGGTAAGTGGGGCGGACACCAGCCAGGAGGTCCAGCGTGTCCTGGTCCAAGTCGTCCCTTTCCAGCAGGTAGCGGGTGATCAGGGCAGTCACCTGTGGAGGCGCCACCGTGGAGTCCCGGGGCAGGGAGAGGCAAGCCCGCCTGGGACGCACCCCGCCTGGGACGCCAACGCCCCGGGCCGGCCTCACCTGCGCATCTGTGCTGTGCCCGCTGCTGGCCTCGAGCAGGCCCTTGACCGTGTCCAGGGAGGTCACATTCCACTTGCTGATGTCCTCCGGGAGGATGTGGCGGAAGAAGGGCCCGAGCCTCTGGATCAGGGCCTCGGGGTACCCTTGTGGAAAGGTCTGGAAAGGAAGTGACCCTGAGGGACCGGGCCACACTGGAGAGCTGGGGCCCCGTGTCTGTCCAGGGCAGGGGGGAGGTGTGGTGAGCTACCTTGTCCAGCTTGCGCTTCAAAGCGCTGAGCTGCTGGTAGGTGAAGGGGATCTTGTTCACTTCCTCCACCTGCTCCGCCAGCACGGCGCCGTCCAGGCAGGCCTCCAGCTCCCACTCCTCATACCAGAAGAGGCTCTCGTCCACGGCCAACGCCCTCTGCCCCGGGGGACAGGCCTCTGCAAGGACAGGCCTGCTGCCTCAGCCCCTCCTTCCCCCCACAGCCTCCATCCTGCTCCGGCCTCCGTTCACCCACCCGGTCTGTGAGGGGATGACCTGGTTAGCTGAGACTCAGGCAGGAAAGATCTCAGGCGTGGACAGTGCTAGTGCCGCCCATCCCCCCTGCCTCCCCAGCCCCTGGTTACCTGCGCTCCTCCATGCCCTCCCCCCGCCCCAGCGCCTGCCCCCATGCCCGGCCCCCGGCTCCAGCGCCTGCCCCCATGCCCGGCCCCCGGCTCCAGCGCCTGCCCCCATGCCCGGCCCCCGGCTCCAGTGCCCACGGCCTGGTGAGCAGGTTCAGAGCTCACTCTCCGTGTCTCGCCGGAACCTTTGGACCACGGGGGCCAGCTCAGACCTCTGCCACGATGGGTGCCCGGAGATGCGCTGTAGCCAGGAGTCCAAGACCTCCTGAGGACAGAGCAGGGCAGACCAGTGAGCCGAGGGTCCCGGGGATCAGAGCCGGGAGCAGAGGAGGGGGGCTCACCTGGGGGATGCTGTGAATGATGGGCAGGTCCAACACAGTCACCAGGCCCTGCAGAGCGTCCAGGGTGGAGGGGGACCACTGCGAGGGAGGACTGTTTGGACAGAGGAGACCCCAAATGCAGTGCAGGGGGCAGCCGAGGTCAGACGCTGCTCCTGGCTGTGAAGGGGCACAGCCCAGCGGCCCAGGCACGCCCCAGAGACCTCAGACACCCCCTCACTCACCCATAGGGGGGTCCTCCGCCCTTCAGAGCCGTCCTGGCTGCCTCCTGCTGGTCTTGGTCCAGGGGACCTGGGCAGCTGGCCAGCCGGGGGAGAAGGACGGCTGCTGCATTGGCCACAAAGCGCCCGGGCAGGTCACAAGCCAGGCTCCCCAGGGCCTGCAGGTCGGCCTCGCTCACCCAAGAGCCCCGCACACCCTGAACACACATTCGGCCTCAGTGCCTTCCTGTGAGGGGCCGCCCCTCCCTCTCTGCCCTGCTCCCCCCCACTGCTCCCCCTGCTCCGTTCTGTACCCGGCAGGCCAGAGCTAGGCGCAGCAGACGCTGGCGCTCAGGAGCCCCGGGTGGGAGCTGGCGGAAGTTGTTGGCCTTGGAGACTCGAGACAACAAGCTCTTACAGACCTGAGGCCCCGGGAACGAGGCAGGGCTGTGGAGAGAGAAATGCGGGGACTGCTATGCCCGCAGCCCACTCCCCGCCCGATCCCACCCTGGCCCAGCCTCCCAGCCCCTGGGCTGTAAGCCGGGGACGGGGGGGGGGGGTGCCCCAGCGCCTGGCACCGAGCCTACTTGAGGAAGGGCAGCATGTCCACTGAGAGGGCATCCAGGTCCTGGGGGGCAAGGTGCTCTGAGAGACGGTGAGCCAAACAGCGCAGCTGCCGAGAGACCAGGCCGGCCGGCTTGGAATGTGCTGGGCCCCGGGCGGGGGGCTCCAGGTCTCCCACCCACAAGGCACACCCCAGCCCCGGTGCCCGTGGGCAGGGCGGGCCGGGGCAGGCAGGCAGGGACTCGGCCCATGGAAGCCGGGTTTTAGGGGCAAGGCTTTGAAGGGGGGCCCACTCTCCAGGGGGGCGGGCAGGCCTCCTTGGTCACCCCCCACAGCCAGACCTGCGTGGCCACACACCCGGCCAGCTGGTGGGAGACCCACCTGATCCTCCCGCCAGCAGGAGACCCACAAGAGACCCACCTGATGCTCCCGGAGTGGGATGTGCTCCCGCCTCACAGTCACAGCCAGCTCCAGGGCACGCCCGGCGCTCAGGCGGGACACCTCCTCGCAGGAGAAGCTCGAGAGGCCTAGGGCTGGGCTGGGCGGGCCCCGAGTGTGTACCCACTTCTGGCCTTCTCAGTACCCCCTGGTCCCACAGCACCCCCTCCCTGCAGGACCCCGTAAGCCTCCCAGGGCCAGGCAACATCTGGAGGGCAAGGGCTGGCCGCCGCTCCCCAGTCCTGAGCCTGGTCAGGACCCGGGAAGCAGGACAGGCCGGAGGAGAGGCCCAGGAAGCTGTGCAGCCGGCCCCTGGGTGCCCAGCCTACGAGGCCTCCGGAGCCCCAGGGCCTGAGGAACCCTGGACATACCTGTTGGGGTCACGCAGGCCCGCCGCGTCCGGGAGCGGAGGCTGTGGGGACAAGGCCCTGCTGACGCCCGCCCAGGTGGGTGTTTCTCAGTCTCTGCCACACTTTGGGCTCAGCTGCTTCAAGGCCCAGACTCCGGGGTGGGGTGGGGGGCCGGGTATGCGGAGCCTGGCTGTTTGCTGGGACCCACGTTTGGATCTCCTGGCTTAAATTCTACCTGACCCAGCTACACTATTGCCAGTGGGTCCCCTGAACAGCTGCTAGGTATTGGTGCATGTGGAAGGAAGATACCTGGCCCTGTCTCCCACTGTGGGCCAGGCCGGGGTCTGCACCCAGGACGGGAAAGCCCAGCTGCCTCCCCCTCCCCTCCCCCTCCCGTCCTCCAGCCTCACCTGTCCCGTCTCTGCAGCCCTTGGAGGTTGTGTCCAGCCTGTGGAGCACAGGCAGGAGGCTGGGGTGGAGGGGCTCTGGGGGTGCGCCTGGCCCTGGGAAGGGGACAAAGCCTCTCCCTCCCTAGCTGCAGCCCAGTGACCCCCTGCCAGGTGTGGAGGCCCAGGGCTCGGCCCACACGGGGGGGCCCGGACCCCCATACCTTCCTCAGGGTGGTCAGGTACCACCAGTCCTCAAGACCCCACCATGCTCAGCACCCTCCCCGCCCCGCAACGCCCAGCCCTCCCCGGCTTCCCTGGTCAGCTGCCCCTACTTACCGAGGCCCAGCAGCGGCAGCGGCAGCAGCAGCAGCAGCAGCAGACCGCCCCGAATAGGGGTCCTGCGGGACCCCAGAAGGCGTCTGGCTGCCAACAAGGCCATGGTCTGTGGAGGACAGTGGCTGGGCTCCCCTTCCAACGCCCTCCCACCCACCCAGGGCCGCCCCAGGCTCCGTGGGTCCCACCTTCTGGGCGCCCAGGGGAGCTCCAGCCCAGCACCGCGGAAGTAAGTCCTCCCACAGGGGGTGGAGTGCTGGGCCAGGCCCCGCTCTGAGCCCATCCCCGCTCCCTGAAGGACAGGGCGGGGAGAGCCCTGGGCTGCCTCCAATCAGGCAGACCTCAGTTTCCCCGTTTGCGTGGGGAAGGGGGCGGGCTGAGCAGGCCTCTCCCTTCCCCAGTGCTTTCAGCTGCAGCCCCAGGGCTCTGCCAGGTGGACGGTGAGGGGCAGGGGAGGGAAACACTCCCCTCTGCCAGCTCCTCCAACCCCACGCCCCCCTGCAGACGTGGGGAGGGGCCTCCCTGAATGAGGAGGAGGGGAGGAGGAGGGCGCACAGAGATCAGCCCACCCTCCACCCGTCCCCAGAGGAGCCACACCCACTCCTGCAGGGAGCCTCCTGCAGCTGACTCTTGAGGAGGTGGAGGACGGCCCGGCCCTGGCTGGCCCGCAAGAACCACAGTGATGGCACCCTGGCAGCCCGCGGCCCTCTCCCGGCCCCGGCAGAGGCTCTGGCGGTGGTAGGCCCTTCGCCCGCCTCCCCCGCTGGGGCCCCTCCCATCCCCCAGCTCTGCGCTGCACGCAGCTGGGCACCTGCCCCAGCCCCGGCCTGTGTGAGACTCCAGGGTGACCTCCAGGCTGCCTATTCCCCACCCAGGTCTGCGGCCGCAAGCCCGTCCAGGAGGGCGGCGCTGAGGAGGCTTGTCTCGGGGGACAGCGCCTGCTACCCCAGCCACCGCGGTCTGGAGCTCCCCAGGACAAGGCCTCTCTCCTGGCCTACCTGCCACGCCCACCCATGCAGCCTCCGCGTCCGGCTGCAGCCCGCAGGCCTGGCCCTCAACCCAGAGCAGAGAAGCCGAGCCGCATTCTTGCTGGGGCCCGCAAAGAAGCCTGTGGCAGCCACGGGCACCCAGCACGGGCAGGGCGGGGCAGGAAGACATTCCGGTGACTGCAGAGGAAGGGGGTCCACAGTGGGCACAGGCCAGCAGGCCCTGGATCCGCCCAGGGCCCCCACATTCCATCCCAGGCAGGCAGGTCTGCAATCAGCCCAGCCCCCTCCCCCCCATGCTCCCTCCCTCCCAGGGCTGAAGCGGATGAGGGGCTGCGTGCCCTTCCGCAGCTTGCCCACCGCAGCACAGGCACAGGGCAGAGGCCCGAACGCTGGGGCGGCCCCGCGGTGCCCGGGCCCTGCCCCAAGCCCCGGGCTGAGCTGGACCCTTGCCCCCGGGGAGACAGTGTGCACAGGGCACAGGGTGGTCCTGCTGAGGGCAGTCAGACACACACAGCTCCCACCTGAGCCTGACCCTCCCACCTGAGCCTGACCCCCTCACCTGAGCCTGACCCCCTCACTTGAGCCTGACCCTCCCACCTGAGCCTGACCCTCCCACCTGAGCCTGACCCCCCTCACCTGAGGCTGACCCCCTCACCCTGGGGGGCACAGCCTCTGTTCAGTGTCCAACTTGGGCATTACTCTGGGTCCTGAGGAGGGTGGACAGTGGGGAGGGCTCCACATTGCAGTCATGGGAGGCAGGAATGAGGGGGAGGGATGAGGAGGGATGAGGAGGGATGAGGGGGGATGAGTGGGGAGGGATGAGGAGGGATGAGGAGGTAGGAGGAGGGGTGAGGAGGGGTGAGGAGGGGTGAGGAGGTAGGAGGGATGAGGGGAGGGATGAGGAGGGGTGAGGAGGGGTGAGGAGGGGTGAGGAGGATGAGGAGGGTGAGGAGGGTGAGGAGGGATGAGGAGGGGTGAGGAGGGTGAGGAGGGTGAGGAGGGTGAGGAGGGATGAGGAGGGTGAGGAGGGTGAGGAGGGTGAGGAGGGGTGAGGAGGGTGAGGAGGGATGAGGAGGGTGAGGAGGTAGGAGGGATGAGGGGAGGGATGAGGAGGGGTGAGGAGGGGTGAGGAGGGGTGAGGAGGGTGAGGAGGGTGAGGAGGGATGAGGGGAGGGATGAGGAGGGGTGAGGAGGGGTGAGGAGGGGTGAGGAGGATGAGGAGGGTGAGGAGGGTGAGGAGGGTGAGGAGGGTGAGGAGGGTGAGGAGGGATGAGGAGGGGTGAGGAGGGTGAGGAGGGTGAGGAGGGGTGAGGAGGGGTGAGGAGGGTGAGGAGGTAGGAGGGATGAGGGGAGGGATGAGGAGGGTGAGGAGGGATGAGGAGGGGTGAGGAGGGTGAGGAGGGGTGAGGAGGGTGAGGAGGGTGAGGAGGGATGAGGAGGGGTGAGGAGTGAGGAGGTAGGAGGGATGAGGGGAGGGATGAGGAGGGGTGAGGAGGGGTGAGGAGGGATGAGGAGGGTGAGGAGGGTGAGGAGGGATGAGGAGGGGTGAGGAGGGTGAGGAGGGATGAGGAGGGGTGAGGAGGGGTGAGGAGGGATGAGGAGGGATGAGGAGGGGTGAGGAGGGATGGGGGAGGGTGAGGAGGGGTGAGGAGGGTGAGGAGGGATGGGGGAGGGTGAGGAGGGTGAGGAGGGTGAGGAGGATGAGGAGGGGTGAGGAGGGATGGGGGAGGGTGAGGAGGGGTGAGGAGGGTGAGGAGGGTGAGGAGGGTGAGGAGGGGTGAGGAGGGGTGAGGAGGGTGAGGAGGATGAGGAGGGTGAGGAGGGGTGAGGAGGGATGAGGAGGGGTGAGGAGGGATGGGGGAGGGTGAGGAGGGGTGAGGAGGGTGAGGAGGGATGGGGGAGGGTGAGGAGGGTGAGGAGGGTGAGGAGGGGTGAGGAGGGTGAGGAGGATGAGGAGGGTGAGGAGGGATGAGGAGGGGTGAGGAGGGGTGAGGAGGGTGAGGAGGGTGAGGAGGGTGAGGAGGGTGAGGAGGGGTGAGGAGGGGTGAGGAGGGGTGAGGAGGGGTGAGGAGGGTGAGGAGGGTGAGGAGGGTGAGGAGGGTGAGGAGGATGAGGAGGGGTGAGGAGGGATGGGGGAGGGTGAGGAGGGGTGAGGAGGGTGATGAGGGTGAGGAGGGTGAGGAGGGGTGAGGAGGGGTGAGGAGGGTGAGGAGGATGAGGAGGGTGAGGAGGGGTGAGGAGGGATGAGGAGGGGTGAGGAGGGATGGGGGAGGGTGAGGAGGGGTGAGGAGGGTGAGGAGGGATGGGGGAGGGTGAGGAGGGTGAGGAGGGTGAGGAGGGGTGAGGAGGGTGAGGAGGATGAGGAGGGTGAGGAGGGATGAGGAGGGGTGAGGAGGGGTGAGGAGGGATGAGGAGGGGTGAGGAGGGATGAGGAGGGTGAGGAGGGTGAGGAGGGTGAGGAGGGGTGAGGAGGGTGAGGAGGGTGAGGAGGGTGAGGAGGGTGAGGAGGGATGAGGAGGGGTGAGGAGGGTGAGGAGGGATGAGGAGGGTGAGGAGGGATGAGGAGGGTGAGGAGGGATGAGGAGGGTGAGGAGGGATGAGGAGGGGTGAGGAGGGTGAGGAGGGGTGAGGAGGGTGAGGAGGGTGAGGAGGGGTGAGGAGGGTGAGGAGGGTGAGGAGGGATGAGGAGGGGTGAGGAGGGGTGAGGAGGGGTGAGGAGGGTGAGGAGGGGTGAGGAGGGTGAGGAGGGTGAGGAGGGTGAGGAGGGATGAGGAGGGGTGAGGAGGGATGAGGAGGGGTGAGGAGGGATGAGGAGGGATGAGGAGGGTGAGGAGGGTGAGGAGGGTGAGGAGGGATGAGGAGGGGTGAGGAGGGTGAGGAGGGGTGAGGAGGGTGAGGAGGGTGAGGAGGGGTGAGGAGAGTGAGGAGGGGTGAGGAGGATGAGGAGGGTGAGGAGGGGTGAGGAGGGATGAGGAGGGGTGAGGAGGGATGGGGGAGGGTGAGGAGGGGTGAGGAGGGTGAGGAGGGATGGGGGAGGGTGAGGAGGGTGAGGAGGGTGAGGAGGGTGAGGAGGGTGAGGAGGATGAGGAGGGTGAGGAGGGATGAGGAGGGGTGAGGAGGGGTGAGGAGGGGTGAGGAGGGATGAGGAGGGTGAGGAGGGTGAGGAGGGTGAGGAGGGTGAGAGGGGTGAGGAGGGGTGAGGAGGGTGAGGGGGTGAGGAGGGGTTGAGGAGGAGGGTGAGGAGGGTGAGGAGGGGTGAGGAGGGTGAGGAGGGTGAGGAGGGTGAGGAGGGATGAGGAGGGTGAGGAGGGATGAGGAGGGTGAGAGGGATGAGGAGGGTGAGGAGGGATGAGGAGGGTGAGGAGGGTGAGGAGGGTGAGGAGGGTGAGGAGGGTGAGGAGGGTGAGGAGGGTGAGGAGGGTGAGGAGGGATGAGGAGGGTGAGGAGGTGGGTGAGGAGGGGTGAGGAGGGTGAGGAGGGGTGAGGAGGGTGAGGAGGGGTGAGGAGGGTGAGGAGGGTGAGGAGGGGTGAGGAGGGTGAGGAGGGTGAGGAGGGTGAGGAGGGTGAGGAGGGGTGAGGAGGGGTGAGGAGGGTGAGGAGGGTGAGGAGGGGTGAGGAGGGGTGAGGAGGGTGAGGAGGGTGAGGAGGGTGAGGAGGGTGTGAGGAGGGTGAGGAGGGTGAGGAGGGTGAGGAGGGTGAGGAGGGTGAGGAGGGTGAGGAGGGGTGAGGAGGGTGAGGAGGGTGAGGAGGGTGAGGAGGGTGAGGAGGGTGAGGAGGGTGAGGAGGGTGAGGAGGGTGAGGAGGGTGAGGAGGGTGAGGAGGGTGAGGAGGGTGAGGAGGGTGAGGAGGGGTGAGGAGGGTGAGGAGGGTGAGGAGGGTTGAGCAGGGTGAGGAGGGTGAGGAGGGTGAGGAGGGTGAGGAGGGTGAGGAGGGTGGTGAGGAGGGATGAGGAGGGTGAGGAGGGTGAGGAGGGTGAGGAGGGTGAGGAGGGATGAGGAGGGTGAGGAGGGTGAGGATGAGGTGAGGAGGGTGAGGAGGGTGAGGAGGGGTGAGGAGGGTGAGGAGGGTGAGGAGGGTGTGAGGAGGGGTGAGGAGGGTGAGGAGGGTGAGGAGGGTGAGGAGGGTGAGGAGGGTGAGGAGGGTGAGGAGGGTGAGGAGGGTGAGGAGGGGTGAGGAGGGGTGAGGAGGGTGAGGAGGGTGAGGAGGGGTGAGGAGGGTGAGGAGGGTGAGGAGGGTGAGGAGGGGTGAGGAGGGTGAGGAGGGTGAGGAGGGTGAGGAGGGTGAGAGGGGTGAGGAGGGTGAGGAGGGGTGAGGAGGGTGAGGAGGTGAGGAGGGGTGAGGAGGGTGAGGAGGGTGAGGAGGGTGTGGAGGGTGAGGAGGGTGAGGAGGGTTGAGGGAGATGAGGAGGGTGAGGAGGGTGAGGAGGGTGAGGAGGGTTGAGGAGGGATGAGGAGGGTGAGGAGGGTGAGGAGGGATGAGGAGGGTGAGGAGGGGTGAGGAGGGTGAGGAGGGTGAGGAGGGTGTGGAGGGTGGTGAGGAGGGATGAGGAGGGTGAGGAGGTGAGGAGGGTGAGGAGGGTGAGGAGGGTGAGGAGGGTGAGAGGGTGAGGAGGGTGAGGAGGGTGAGGAGGGTGAGGAGGGGTGAGGAGGGATGAGGAGGGTGAGGAGGGTGAGGAGGGGTGAGGAGGGGTGAGGAGGGTGAGGAGGGGTGGAGGGGGTGAGGAGGGTGAGGAGGGTGAGGAGGGTGAGGAGGGTGTGAGGAGGGTGAGGAGGGTGAGGAGGGTGAGGAGGGTGAGGAGGGGTGTGAGGTGAGGGATGAGGTGGGTGAGGAGGGTGAGGAGGGTGAGGAGGGATGAGGAGGGTGAGGAGGGTGAGGAGGGTGAGGAGGGTGAGGAGGGTGAGGAGGGGTGAGGAGGGTGAGAGGGAGTGAGGAGGGGTGAGGAGGGTGAGGAGGAGGGTGAGGAGGGTGAGGAGGATGAGGAGGGTGAGGAGGGTGAGGAGAGTGAGGAGGGTGAGGAGGGGTGAGGAGGG